CACAAGAAATGAACAAAGCAGGTTGTGAATAAAAAGCTGTTTCTCGCAGAATAACTCGTGGTAAGTACGAGTGGGGATAAATTGCATGAACGGCAGCACAGAGGAGAAGAAATACCCCAATCTTGGCCCCTCGGAGTTGGTTTAATATCAAGTGCTGACTCTCTGCGTCTCACACACACACAAGCGCACACCAAGAACAGTGTAGCCTCAGACCTGGCAAGCGCCATTCGAGTTCTTGGAGCAGCTTTCTCTCTAATTTAAAGTTGATTGCTGTGGGCCCTCTGTGTGTGACTAGTGAAATATGAGTGTGGCGAAAGAGAGTACCGAGGCTTGGACTGAGTTTAGCTCTGTGTGCATGTGATTAAGGGGCTGGTGTACGCACAAAAGTAGTGGATCCTATGAATGTATGTCTATGCAGGCGTGTATATGTGCATGCCGCGTGAAGGTCTAAGTGGAGCCTGTGCATATTTGTGTGTATGTGGTTTTTGGCCGGAGCTAGTTCAGAGATCTGAGTGCCAGTGAGAGCTGTCTGCAGGGAATCAAGCGGAGCCCAAGGCCAGCTGAATAACAGTGCCTTTCTCTAACTAGAATGAGGTGTTCCGAGGTGACTTTGACTCAATAGAGACGTACTTCAAAATGAGCTGAAGTAAAGATGGAGTTAATAGGTGTAGGTCTGTAGTCTTAAACTGAAAAAAGGGTTCAACGTGGAACAGATGTGGGGATTTGAATGCAACATTGGTGTAGAGGTGAATCAAATCCCTGTGTCGGATAGGCAGTGCTGGGAGAAGTACTCAGATCCTTTACTTCAAATAAAGTAGAAATAATACAGTCTGAAAATACTACGTTACAAGTACAAGTCCTACATTCAAAATGGTACTTAAGTACAGAAGTCTCATCGTCTAAATGTACTTAATGTATCAAAAGTATAAATACTATTTCAGCAGAAAGACACTTATCACAGTATGTAATATTATAGAATATGATTCTCTTTTTATCACTAAAAAATACAAGTAAGAGCATTTTAATGTTTTAGTTTGTCAACCATTTTTACATACTTAAAATACAAGTTAATAGTTACTATAGGTGCTGCAAAAACTATGATATTCCCTTCTTTAATGTAGCGGATTTGAAGTATAAAGTAGCAATAAATGTTAATACATATGTAAAGCACAAGTACGTCAAAATAGTAAGTAAAGTATTTGATTAAAGTACTTAGGTAAAATAATTTTAGTTATATTAGACCACTGCTGATTGATTATTTCTCCCATAGCATTGAAATGATTGATTTTATAATCCTTTGAAAGACATTTGAACGACTCCCACACTTAACTGGAGCTACAGGTAAATTCAATGCGTTCTTCAGCATAATGTTTTGAGTCAAAGGTCGGCTCATTTTACTGTAAGTGCTAATCCAAGAATTGAAGTATGAGCCTTCCCCTTGGCTACACTACAGTTAACATGACTACACAAAGCCACACTAAATGCATTGCATATGCTGCCTTCAAGCCTTTAAGGATGTTCCTTTTATTACATAGCAATATTTGATATGCAATCTTTCTTACATCTTCACAGGCTTCAAAAGGCGTCATAATGTGTAATGTGTCAGCCATGTTCGGATTAAGATATTAAACTATTCTCGGAAATCTGAGCACCTTGGATTTCCCTTTCTTTTTTGGATATCAATGTGGTGCCAAAGTCCAAAGAGCACATTTGTTCGCGCAGCTCATAACAATCCTTTTACAGGTTTTTTGGTCACAGTGTTTAAAAAGCAAAAATACACTCCAGGTTTCCTTTTATAGAGACGGAAGACTTGGGAATCCATGGTTAGGCCAGCTTCCCAAAGGCAAACCGTAAGGTGACTGGTCCATCCATCCATCCATCTTCTCCCGCTTATCCGTGGTCGGGTCGCGGGGGTAGCAGTTCCAGCAGAGAGCCCCAAACTTTCTTTTCCCTGGCGACATCAACCAGCTCTGACTGGGGGATCCCAAGGCGCTCCCAGGCCAGCGAAGAGATATAATCCCTCCACCTGGTCCTAGGTCTACCCCTTGGTCTCTTCCCAGCTGGACGTGCCTGGAACACCTCCCTAGGGAGGCGCCCAGGTGGCATCCTAACTAGGTGCCCGAACCACCTCAACTGGCTCCTTTCGACGCGAAGGAGGTAAGGTGACTGGTGTCTCTTGTTTTTCTTACTCTCTGTAAATGTTCCTTCACACTGATAAAGTGGTCAGGAGAGTGGTGTTCTGCTGCTACAGTGTCAACGCCAGTTTTTCTTTCAAATTAGCGAAGGGAAATTGTCTGAATGGAGTTAAAAACATAGAAGTAGACAGTGAACTTGGGACCACTGAAAACATGGGACAGATTAACATTGCAAGACTGACTAAAGCACTTCTGTCTCTGTTTTACTGCCATATGGGAGTGTTGGGAGTAAATGAGCTCCAAGTGGTCAACAGACAGCCAACAAACAACAGTCTATAAGTGTGAACTCTTCCCTTTAATCTGTCAAACAACAAACGGAGACAAACCACTTGCCTGCACACAGCTTTTTGTGGTCCAATCACAGTCAAACAGCATAATGTGATAGGGACAACTTTACCCAAAAAGAAGGCAACACTGACCTGACCGACAATCCTGTGCACTAAAAAAAACACCATAAGCAACTTCTGAACTTATTCCGACATACTTAAATCCTAATTAATCCAGAAATCCCCTGTTTTCAACATTTAAAGTAGCAGAGCGGAACAGCCACACAATCCTGAAAATGTTATGTTGGGTGCATTCTCAAAAGATAGATGAAGAATTCATCTTTAATCAAAACTGAGTTACACTTGAATGGATGCAACCTGATACCTGCAAACAAAACAAGCTTCAAGGCTTTCATACATAGATGAATTCTCATCACAACTTCACTGATAATAACAATAAGACTTTTTTAAGGCTCCTTTCAAGACACCCAAGGTCCTGCTTTGAGAGATAAAACAAACAAAAACTATAAAACATCAAATGTCATTTTCTAGGGAAAAAACAACAAAATCATTCAAATGATGACTCAAAATGAAATGTTTCAATGCATAAGAATCTCATTGTGTGCCTCTTCAACTACATTTGCTGCAACATGTTTTTCTGTATCATTCCCTTGAACACACAGACCTGATCAAAACAAGTGTACACTGACAGGAACACCACATATTTCAGGGAAAGGTTCAAATCCTTCCGCTAAATACACAATGTGCAATGTTACAGTGTTGAAGAGCGTAGAGTTCATATTCAAACCTCCTCCTGAAACCTTAAGGAAAACTTCCACAAATGAGCATTTCGTATGTCAATCAATCCATTGCCTTGAATTCTAAAAGAAAGATGTGTTTTTGTCTCATGCCTCCAAGAAGAACAAACAATCAGAAAACAGAGAAAGTCTTGATCTGGGCCGCTTTAATAACAGCAAATCACTATCCAAAGATGTGTATGACGTTTCATATGTAGATCCACGTTTAATGTATCCAGTCATATGCTTATTACCTCCAAAACACATACGTTTTCACTAGAAATCTTACGGTTTTAAAAATGTCAGACGTGCATGGACAAGGAGCGTGAGACTCTTTATGTGAATTGTTTTTATAAGTTCAGTTTAGCAAACCATGCATGCACTGCTCTTATAAAACGCAGCCACCACATTATTCAATTAATCACAAATTGTCGTTTTTGTTTATCGCTCCAGCGTGCGAGAAAAACAAAGTTGACATCAAGAAGTCAAGGTTAACATGACTTCTTGATGTCAAACATATTTTGCAAGAGTAGTATTCCTTTCACCTTGACTTTCTTGCTGGCTTTACACTTGACAAGGGTTGCATCTTCCTTTCCATCGTGAACTTTGACACTTAAAATCGGGTAACACTTGAGAAAGACAAATACATTGGGGTAAATTGGATTCTAATTCGATGCAGGCTAGTCCTTCTGCCTTTCTCTACCTTCCCTCTCCTGAAACACCCCCAGGCTTCATCTTTCGGCTTAGTCTGTTTGCATTCCTGTTGAGCTCTATTTAAAGGCTTCATTCCTCCACTGGCTGGAGGAATGCACATCTGTAGAGAAACCCCGTCCCACTGTCTCTGTCTCCCTTTCTCTGGATGTGTGTCTGTGCAGTATTATGTTTCTAACTGCGGACTCGCAGCATTAACCTTTACTGCTGCCCCGGAACCATAATTGTGTATATAAACATACAAAAAACAAGAGCCGGAAGAAGACTAATTTTGTTTATCACATCAACGAGTGCTTTTTGGTGACTCAGTATGTTGTAGCTGTGTCCTTACACTGCAGAGTGTTTTACAGGGCTGTGTAGAAGAAAACAAGTCCACAAAAAGCCACAGCAACAACAGTGCTGTGATGTATTAAGATGTATATTAAAGAAATAAACAGTGCTGCATGTATTTAAAAAATACAGCTCAGAAACCACACTTGCCAACAATTAACACAAAGGATATAAGTCTATCAAATTGAAGATGTTTTTACAAATCCATTAGTTCAACAACAAAAAAAAAATATATTTTTTTTTTTTCTTTAAAAATCTAAATTCCAGAAATACTAAATGTGCTTTATGGTGCAATTATCGACCTATAACGTTCAATAAGAATACATTTGGACCAAAAACACAGCTGTTGTAATCAACAAGTAAGAAAAACAACCCCAGTTTAGCTCATAATTATCAAACAATAAAATACACACATTATAGAATATTGCCATGTGGGAGACATTGTGGGAGACATTGCTATAAACCATATGAAAACATGTAATGTCACAAGTGTTTTTGGTGCCAAAGAAGCTAAAGAGGGAGCAACATGTAAGCTCGCAGCCTGACACATCCCCATGGAATAACATTGGAGTAAACTTCCCTCTGTTCCCTCTTGTCCCGGGTGAGTGAGGCGGATAAACTTTTCGCCCCACACGCGCGCAGCTTCCTAGCTGCTAATTCCCACTACCCCTGTTTTAACAGTTCAAAAACAACAAACTTACCTTGGAAAATCTCCCCGAGTCAAACAGGCATTATTATGTTGTCGCCTTCCATAGTTGGGACTTTGTCGAGTTGTTCTTCAGCTCCCCAGGACGGACTACAGAGGGGCACGAGAGAAACAAAGTCGGACAGGCAGCAGGAGGCGGGGAGGAAGGAGGCCAGACATGTCTGCCGCCGACTGGTTGGAGGAGCCGGCTGTCAATCATCCAGTTTAAGTGGGCGGGTCTTAACTGTAAAGGGATTATAGAGGCTGAGCTGTCAGCACTGATCCCAGGTCTGAGGTCTGAGGAATGTGGCAGAGAAAAACAGATGGAGGCCTCCCGCAGCACCAGTTTTCATGGGAATGTTCAGCAAGGCGGTGATGGTTGGTAGAAAACTGCCAAAAATGTACTAAAATATGTATAATTTTAATTAACGCGGTCTTAGTTAATGGTGAATTTAGTGTATATCATAATGATATTACTGTATGCATGCCACTTCACCACTGATTTACATTTTTATTTGACTGTTCTTGTTCCATATTATTTTAAATGCACTCTTATTTATTTAATAATTGTTCTAGTAATCCAATTCTAAGTAACCTTTTGATTACTGATGATTTGTTTTGACATAAAAAGAGGAGACAATGATTTCAAAAAGACAAGTGCCAACATTGATGAAAAATGTTAGGTATATTTAATATATACTGAATAATGTATATTATAACTTACATTTCAGCCTTCTTCTGGGAAGGACAAGTAGCACTTGGAATACATTGTGAGTAGAATGTGTTGTCAATGTGCACAAAAACACACTATAATCCACATTTGCTGTTTTCCTCGACCACCTACATTAATTTCAACCAAACATATTTTAGTGGGCTTTAAATAGCTCTTTTTGAAACAATAAGCTAGTCCATTTGCTATATTTATATATATATATATATATATATATTTATTGTTAATTCTACTTTATGAGACAGGACCCTGATTTATTTATGTATTTGTTATGTAGCTTACCTGTTATGTGATGAGTACAACACATTAAACACATTAATGGTTCCAGTGATTTATGCTTTCGCAGACAATAAATTGCATGGCAGGAGCATCTCATTATCGAAAGCACTGACCTTTTATCCTCCTACTTGAATGTGCTGGGAAAACACATCTGTCAATGTAACAGTCAGATGCCGCAATACAGCCTTGCAGCTATCTGATACAAAATCAACACACAAAGGCGTTTGGGCGTCACAAAGGTAGGGTTCTATTGTAGTTGTGCCATATTGGTTTGCATTGTACAGGAGTGCCTTTTAAATTGTCAAACCATTTTACAGCACTATTCATGCTTCAAAATAGCACCTTTTTATACATATTATCAGAATTTTACATAATTTTTATAGGTTCAATAACTTGCCTTCACAGCAATCATACGTTAGAGTTACAATTTGATATGAGAAAAATGAAAAGGATTTGATCTAATTATAAAACTGTACATGTATCAACATAATATAACTCGTAAAATATGTTAACACATTACAAAAGGGCAATAATTAACAAATTAACAAACTGCTGCTTTGGTTGTCAGAATTTTACCATAATGGATTAGAAAATTCTCAATTATTAAATCACAGTGCTGATTCGACAGTTTGATCCCCTATAGCGGCATAGATACAAGGTTTGACCATAGAAATAAATGCTGTTAAGCCATATAATTAACATGAAAGCGCCATAGAGGCTGTTTACTCCGTTTTAGGCAAATTATTTGTATCAATTGTATGTATACCTTTGACCTAGATAGACTGGACTAAAACAATAAAAAAAGAAAAGAAAAGTGGCTGTTGTTGTCCAGCCAACTCGTGTGACAAGCAACACTGATGTCATTATTTTGTCCAAAGGGGGATTTCTATTTTGAGCCAATCCAGCAGCCCCCCTTACTGCTGCTGACCTGAAAGTGTCATTAGGAACAGCAAATCCCAACCAACCAGAGAATTTAGTGACACGTCATTTACATATTTGTACATTCTCTTAACAAAGTGATTTATTTTTATTTTGGTTATGTCAGATTAGCATTCATTAAGAGCTTATTTAATGTTTGAGGCTGCAGTTTGTGGTTTTGTTGGAATGAACTACATCTGCTACTTGTTTTTATCACTGCCCGTCCATCTTCCTCTCTCTGACTGTATTTGTTTTTTATGGCTGTGAAATGCACTCATTTAGCCTCCTCTACCACCTGTTGCATTATGTGATACGGTGTTGCTTCCCTCTGCTGGGAATACTTACTCATTACATACAGGAGTCAAAAGTAAAAGTAAAATAATCTTATTTGCAGTTAACTAATGTGATTAATTGTGTGCTGTTGCGGGCATATTTGAGTGTATAGTATAGTGTGTTTATATGCTGTTTAGAACCTTTTAACTAATTGAAACATTATTTTAATTGGTGTTTTGCAGAACTATGCTAATGAACAAGAAGCCCTCACTATTAAAGTACAACTTTCTCCCATGGATAAAGTAATGGAAGTGAACCTATTCACAGTGTTTAAAGCCTGAACCTGAAACACAGATTTTGTTCCCTGATTAAGTGTTTCATACAAATCTGTTGACAGGTTTTTGATTCTGCCAAATTGCAGACAAACGACATATTCATGCAACTAACAAAACACACAGTCAAGACTCGAAACTGAGAGAGTGGAACGTTTCATGAGAATTAAAGAAACAAAATATGTACAGTGACATTTAGTTATAAAAGTGAGTATTACTACCTTCCCCTCAAATAGCCCACACAAAATCACAGTGTATATTGACATACATAAGGTTGATGGAATAAAATGCATTATTCCGCTACCCATTTTATACTGTATTCATCATAGTCATTTTACTGTTAAGCATTGCTCACAGTTACAGACCCACACAGGATTTTCACAAAACTCCTACTCGACTTGTTGCCTCTTTTAGCTCATTGTTTTGGCTCGTTTCAGTGTCACCTCTCTTATTAGCAGCAGGAAGCTGTTTTCAGCAAATAGCTCCAATAAACATGATGTAGGCCTACAATGCTGGCACCAAATAGCATACAGACAAAGTAAACCCAGATAGCTATATGCAGCGCCATATAGATAGAAGAGTTTCAGAAAGGACAGGAGACCAACAGGTGACTATCAAAGGACTAGCAGCAGCATGATGATGATGTTAAATGTGTTGTTTTAGGAACATCCATTGTAAATAAATGGAATTCAATAAACATTGAATAGCATATCATGCAGTTTGTCTGTGCCTTTTCCTCTGTGTTGTCCTGGCATATAGTCTCCCCCATGGTTTGCTGTGCTGCCTGGGGATGCTCCAATCGCTCAGAGAAAGGAGTACACATGAAAAGTTTCCCCACTGACAAAGAGGAAGAAAGAATGGCTGGCTCAAGTCAGCAGGAGCAATTTAACTATCACAAAAGACAACAACATATGTGAGGTAATCATATTTTTCACAAAACGAAGACCACACCATTGGGAAGCTTAATGTCTGTTTAATCAAAATAAGGAACAGGGAGAGGCTTGCAAAACTCTGGGAGTTGAGACTCAGGTGCAGGGTGAGGGTCTCATTGCAGGTCTTCAGGCTCCATTGAATCCCCCTGGGGTTCTTGTGCTGAAAGAGGGAGACAAAGGCAGGAGAAAGGGTTAGATACATCTAGCAACCTATAGGATGAGAAATTGCTGACATTACCTTGAAACTTACCTTGTGTTTTCACTCTCACTTAAGTCCCTCTCCCTTTGCCATCAATCCAAAATCAGCTGAGCTGCAACATAATACAGACAGGTAATAATCAACAGAATCACAAGGACATTATATGGCTCTGCTAAAAACACTCACCCATAAATTACGTTTTTGTTTACTGTTTGGAAGTCTCAAATATCCACTCTAAATCCATATCAATAGCGATGTATCGCAAACATAGCTCTCTTCCTTATTATTGTGTAACGTGAACTACACCCCTCCACCCCGGATAAAGCACGTTAAGAAGCCCCTTTTCTCTAATTCCACAACGTTGGGTTGAAATAACATTAAGAGAACGGATTAATAGGCTGTTCGTGGTTAACGTGTGTTGCTAACGTTATCCGGAATCCTAGCCTAATCTGTTATATGTAAACGTTCCCTAAATCAGTAGATTTAGGGATAATCTTCACGGAATCCACTAACATCCTTTAATACACATGTTAATTTGACTCAGATGTGCTGATAATATCCGCAATATACATCTTTAAACGTCTTCTTACCTTTCAAAATCCAACACGAACGGTCTATTATGCTGCAACTCTACTGTGCTGCTAGCTAGCCCATGGATGTATAATAAGAACTGGATACAGCGTGGGAGGCGGGGCCTCATTCATTCCTATGAGATTTGCTCATTAGCGCATGATGACAAAATGGCCCAACTTTTGAGAGAGCGAAACGTCACAGATTACCCGGCATGCCTGAGAAGTACCCGTATGTGCACTCATAGAGCATGCGCAACTTTAACCACGCCGCCCAAAAGGCTCGTTCACATTAAGCACGTGAATTTGCGTACACGTAACAGCACCGCGCGTTCATGACAGCATGGTACTGGATTTATATTAACGAGGCGGCAGTTAGCAGCTAGCTAGTCAATTATGCTAAGTTACACATCAATCGTTATGTACTTTTATATTACGCTGACATCAGGATCTAGTGATATCCAAGCAACAGAGCTTCATTTAGCATGATACTTGTGTGGGTTGTACATGAAACCACTGGGTAATATATAAAAATGTATATGTTGAAGCCTGTTATGATCAATTGTGAGTTAAAACTTGATCTAAAAAGTAAAGCTGATGATGGATTACTGTGGTGGAGTTAAAATAACAATAGCCTATTTATTTTTGAAATGTGATGGAGAAAAAGGATAGTAACTGTGATTATTCATGTTAAGTAGCCCACAAGTAACTAAAACAATTGCAAGTGCAATAAGAAGCTACAGGAACGTTAATCTACGTCGGTAATATTAACTTATTAACGTTAAGTTAAGTTATTAACTTATTAACGGTACAAGATTGACATCATACAGCCCATGTAGTATAATATTTTACAAATGATGAATTACAGCAAACATGTGCAATATATCCATTATTACAGCTCCGTGGGCTGGCAGTAAGGCGATATGGTCCGTTGTTATTGTGCATCCATGGGTAAAGAGAAACTCATGTAGTACTGAACACGTAACATGAACGTGCTGGGCAGCGCGGTCCCGTGGGTTAGATGCGCGTTCATAATGCAGAGGGAAATAACTCTCAGAATAACGTTATTAGCACATTTTTACAACTTGAGGAACGAATGTTTTTAATAAGGGCTATAGCCTACAAGTGTTCATACCGGGTAGTTTATTTAGTTTAAAAAAAATTATCCAACGATTTACAGACCACTCTTTCCCCATGTAAGTCAATAGGAAAAAGTGTTTCCGGGCCTGGCAACTAAACGGAAGTGTAGTACCGCCGTTTGGCCAGAACGAATATTTTATATAGCCCTTATTAAAAACATTCGTTCCTCAAGTTGTAAAAATGTGCTAATAACGTTATTCTGAGAGTTATTTCCCTTTGCATTATGAACGCGCATCTAACCCACGGGACCGCGCCGCCCGGCACGTTCATGTTACGTGTCCCGACCAATCAGAGCACACTGGGAGGGTGGGGCCTGGAGCTATTGGAGCTACAACGAGCCGTTAAAGGCAGAGAGTGAAATTCTGTGAATACACGTAGTTTACAGAGATGCTGTTTAAGAAACCAATGTGAGTTGCGTTTATCTTTACCCATGGATGCACAATAAGAACGGACCCATATTGTCTTACTGCCATCCCACGGAGCTGTAATAATGGATATCTTGCACATGTTTGCTGTAATTCATTATCATACTACATGGGCTGTATGATTAAATCTTGTACCGTAAATGTTGTATTAAATAAAGTTAATATTACTTATTATTTTAAGTATATATTATTATATATATACAGTGCAATCATTCTTTCATGCTAAATGAAGCTCTGTTGCTTGGATATCACTAGATCCTGTTACAGCGTAATATAAGTAGCCTACATAACGATTGATGTGTACATTAGCATAATTAGCTAGCCGCTAGCTGCTAACTGCCGCCTCGTTAATATCAAATCCATCATAATAACAAATCATTACCATGCTGTCATGAACGTGCGGTGCTGTTACGTGTACGCAAATTGACGTGCTTGATGTGAACGAGCATTTTGGTTAAAGTTGCGCATGCGCTATGAGCGCGCAAACGAAAACGATGCAAATATAAAACTTAAATATGCCAAAATACATGCAAATTAATAACATCCCTGAATGTCAACCAACCCTCCCGTCAACAAAAAGTCAACATATTGTAACTTCCGTATAAAAAGTCAACGTTGAATGCAACTTAATTTGCGTAACATACTTGATTTACGTACGTTATGTGCTTCCCTATCTAACTTAATTGATCAAATAAACATTCCCTTATTCAACCCAAATCTTGCTCTTTTCATATCAAGGGATGATGTCGCCACGTACTTTTATTTTTCAATGTTAACCAAATGTTTAAAATTGAGTCAAATAAACTTCATATAGCATGCAGTTTGGTTGTATTGGATTGTAAACCACGTCTATAAATGATGACCCCTAGTCCTAGTGGATTAATTCCACTACGTTCTTGCTGACGTGAGTGCATTTTATTGCTGCTAACCGAACAGATAACCCCTCACATGATAACAAATATTCTGGACAGGAAGTTAATGTTTCTAGAAGGATGTGTAATGTGGTTCTGCTGTGTGCCACAGTTTGCACTGTCTGTGACTCACCGCCTGCCAACAGGAGAAACCCACTGCACCAGAGTGCCCTGTTCACTCTTGTAAAGCAACTGAAAAAATGTACATGCTCAGATTCACATATGACACTTTCAGGCTTCACACCCACATAGCACACAATAATGCAAACAGAGAAACACAATGGCACACAGCTGACACCTATTCACTGTGCCCAGTCTCACACACTCCCAAGCCGCTGATGGTTGTTAAATCCCTGCATGACGTCATTGCCAGGCAGATGGTGGGTGTGGTCTTCACCGGCTTGTTAAACATACCACAGCTTAAATGCTGAACAGCCGCTGCCATTCCCTGACGACAACACTCCCTATTTCCCTCAGTCTGGCTCAGTGTTTCTCCAGCATTCACTAGGTAAAGTACTCTTTTTTCTATATCAAAAATCTCAAGTGTTTTTATGTTGTTTCTCTCTTTTGCAGCATTTGTAATGTCTTCTTCTGGCTCAATTGCAAATTCAATACTAATATCTAATATCTCTTTCCTTTTCTTTTTTTCTTTGTTACTGTTTTTTCTGTAGACTTAAACACTGTAGGACATCTGCGAGAATCCTGCTCACCTGAAACCTTTTTGAGGAACTTCCACCAGTTTTCCTTTGTGAGGAGCCCAGCACGCTTGGTGGTGTTTTTATTTTTTAAAGTAAAGATGTCCTTCCCGTTGGCTGTGTTCATATGTCTGTCAACTCTCCAGATGTGTCTGGGAGATGTGGCTGTGGGGGAAGCCGTCACAACAAGTAAGTACTGATATTTATATGAAATATGACATGGGGAGTCACAAGTTAGATGAGAAATATGATAATACAGAGAATAAACTGACTTAGTCTGAATATGTTATTTATACATATCTGAGTTGACAGGCTTTGCGGCTTAATATTTGTTTTAAAAGGTGTTCAAATTGAATGTTTACATACATCAGGAAGCAGACTCATTACAAACCTACCAATACATTAGTCATATGTAGTGAATTGAAGGAGGCAGTCTATAACTTCCCTATAATACTGTCCTGATATCATTACGTAGATGAGTCTTGGATTAATAACTTTGATTATACATAGAGTTTAAGCCTAGTCGAATCAAGTAGAGCAAGTATGATAAAGTGTCTTTGCGATTATATTATATAACAGTGTAATACTTGTTGTGATTATGCGATTCTATTATATAACACAGTGTATTGCTTGTTGTGATTATGTAAAGATATTCAGCAGGGAAAACCTTTGTTCTGTTTTTGTATAAGGAAATAGGAACATAACAGAGCCTGTAAGACACAAAGGATAGCTTAAAGTCATGACCAACAATCTATGAAACCAGCTATCTATATGTAGACTCTAGCTATTGTGCTTTTACTGCCTCAATGCAATGATACAAATAACCACATTTACAGATAAATGAGGAAATAAATATAGCTATAATACACTATTTAAATAGTTGACAGAAAATAAAGGCGAAATAAATAATATGGGCAACAACAACTCAAGGAAGTGAGCTACTTTATTCCGATCAGCTGGTATGATGCCATCTGAGACGAACAAGAATGGCAGGAGTACACGTTGTACTGGAAAAACAACTAGCATGCATCCACTCAGACGGTGACTCTGGCTGGGTATAGTGAGTCAGAAGCTTTGGTTTAGCCAGCAGTCACAGAACGCCGTCATTGTTCAGATGCTGTTTACATTGGCAGAATGAAGCTTAGTTTGGAGTGAAAAATAATCAATCATGGCCACTAAGGAGATTTTAATCAAATGTTTGGCTGCTGTGAGTAAAAAGGGTTTAGGAGAGCAGAGAATATTATGGTTTGTTTAGACTCAATGGGATTAAAATTGAGTTCATTTATTTTTCTATAGATATTTTTGGTTAAAGGTTAAGTATTTAAGAAGCAGCTTCCTGTCTGTACAGTAGCAAATCATGAGAACTGCATTCTCAATTAAATTTTTAGGTTGAAAATAATGGTGTCCTTGTAGTGTATTGTAAGGAACTGTTTGTTGGGGTCTGTTGCACTCTTGAACAATGCTAACTTTGTTGTATTGTTGAACTACAATACATAATGAACTTCAGAGCTTAACAGGTTAGGGATGGAACATGCAGCAACTGATACATGGCTGGTCTTCACTCAATGCGTTGTCACTTCTTAAGATAGGCTTGAAACGTATAAAACAACATATTTGGATGATGTTACCAATTATTTGCATGAGATCAGCCTGGTGACATCAGCAGGCTAACATGCTCACAATTGCAATGCTAAAACGTTTATATTGAGAAGGTGTGATATCGATCTTGTCTGTACGTAAGTTGTGGACTGACCCAGTGACGTTGACACCCCTAAGGCTTCATCAGTGTGTGTTGTGGCTAAAATCTGATAAAAATAAAAACAGAAAAAGCCTAATTTTTGATTGTTTGATCCACCCAATGTACAAAAGCTGCAACCATTATCTCAAAATTGCCTTAACCCTAACCCTTGACAAAACCTTCTTTATATTCTTGGCCTGATCGTTGAGGCTCATTATGGCAGAATAGTCAAGACAGTTTGGCAGAGTGAGAGAACTGGCTGAATCCTGGGTTTGGTCCACTAAAGTTTCCAAGTCTTTGAATGATGTTCTGGGCTGAAACAGCTAATTTTCAGGATGAAGGATCATTAAAAACCCACAAATGGAGCATATCGAATCATAATAACACTGACTGATTGTGATATTGGAACCAGTGTATGAGGGCATTTGTAAGAATGTGCTTCAATCCGTGCAAGATCATTAACGTGCGTTTCACTTACTAATTAACATGTTTGATTTCCTTGTAGAAAAAGTGCCTCTCCTTGGTGGCTGGTTTGAAAGGAATCTTGAGTCAGAGGAGGTTAAGGATGCAACTGAACACGCTGTGAAAGAGTACAACGCAAAAATCGCGAGCAAGAAGCTGTTCAAACTAGACTCCATCGCCGCCGCTCAGACTCAGGTTAGTAAAATGCTATTCAACACAAAATGGCGTCACGATGTAACTATTACAGTGTCGTACAATCTAATACTTCTGTCACCTCATGTTATTAGGTGACCAATGTGATCAACTTTAAGATTGATGCAGTCTTGGTAAAAACCAAGTGCCTTAAGTCTGAAAACCACGAATTGAAGAGTTGCGGTTTGGCGAAAAAGGTACATGTTTAAGTGTGCGTTTTGCACATTTGTTACAATAATGTCTTGTAAAGATAAAGTCTTGTAAAGCAGCATTAGCTCCGTGTGTTGCACTCAGCATTTACAATAATGCTTTTCTGTCTCATTTTACAATACACAAGTTGCATAACCTGTTGCCCTTTCCATTAAGTTCCATTTTGGAGATTTCCCAATTCCTATCTAATATATATTTGTTATCCCTCTCCACAGCGTGTGAATTGCCACTTTGTGGTGACATTCAACCCTCGCAACAACAAACATGAGTTGCAGTCTCACAAGTGCAGCAAAGTTCCTAGGGTAAAGGACTAACTTTTTATATAGTTGGGCTTTGTATAGCTTTGTTGTATTTTGATACAATGTTGACTATTTTTCTGAATAAATGTTGAGTGCTGGGTGTGGTTCAGAGTAACTTGTAACAATGACATAGTCTCAATAAAACTAGTTTGTAAGACAGCTGACTTCGTTTGGTTTTATTTTCTGTCAAAGAGAGCACTTTAGGGTGTTATAGACAACAGGTAAAAAACACAATTGTTCATAAGTTTACAGTTTTATATTTTATTTGGTTAGAGTACACCAACAATTTCATTTATGAATAATTTTTCCGGGATATTTCGCGAAGCCATGGTTGTCGCTTTTACACATCTGAAGTGAAAAACATATGTCATAAAAATTAAAAGAGCGTACATTCATCATGCATTGTGACTACAGAGCATAAATCTGTTCCCAAAATATAAACATTAAAATCCCCCAGTATAACTAAAACGTCAAAATGAAAAGAATACAAATCATAAACGGCATGCATGATGCTAGCTTGAATGACGTTCATTCTGTAAGGCAGAAAAGCCTTAAAAATATCATTTTAATATATTTAATGGAAAGCAGTGGATTATATTGTCTTTAAGGATTTTTGTACTTACTGCATTTTTGTACTTACTGCATTTGTATAATCTATTGATCCTGACTCCTGAGGATATCAAGATATGACATGCCATTCCTTTGTCCAATTGGCACAGAGGAATCTGGAATGGGAGCAATGGTGTCTGCTCCAAACGATGATGCAAAGAAAGATCTAGAGAAGAAAAGAAAATAAATAATGGGAAAGTAACAAACAGTTATGTTTTTTTTTAGGAAACAGGGTTACACCTTGGTGATAACAAGTCATTGTTGTATTGACATCTCCTCGAATGTTAAAACAAATATAAATAAAATACAGGTTAGAGTGTTTGCAGATAACTGACAACATTAACAACCTTATAGATGAATGACAATTATTAAGGACAGAAAGAGAGGTTACCTTCCATAATGCATAACAGAAGAATAATCAGGTTGTTAGTGTTCATTTTGTTGAAGTTGTTGGCACTCGCTGTGGAACAAAACATATTTGCATTTCAAAAAATCCTAGTAATACTTTTCACAAAACATGTAGAAATGTACATATCGATCAAAACATACTGTATGACAAATAAAATGTATATAAAGTTTGATCATGCATTGACATAGGGAACAGTCTTAAAGGGTAATTCTAAGACTCACAGCTATTTCACTCTGAAATATAGTTTCCTCCTCTCAAACACCTTTTGAATATTAGTAAGAATAAACATCACTAGTACTATCTTCTCCCCTTTATTCTAATGTGTTGATCAATAATAATAATAATAATAATTTTAATTTATATAGCGCCTTTCACGAAACCCAATGGGCTTTACAATGGGAAGTAACAAAACAAAAAGTAATAATAATCATACAGATACATAGGCTGAAGAAAACAAAAACAGGAACAGGTTGCTGAGTACTGTATATTAGTTGAGGCCAAAGGCCTGAGTGAACAGATGGTGTTTGAGGTGTTTTTTGAAGGTGTCCAGAGTGTCTGCATTCCTGATTGCACAGGGGAGAGAATTCCAGAGGGTGGGGGCTGCGACACTGAAGGCTCTGTTGCCAAATGTTTTCAGCTTGGAGCGCTGGATGGAGAGCAGCCCTTTGTCAGAGGACCGCAGGTGACGAGAGGGGGTGTAGGGCTGAAGGAGGTCAGAGATGTATGGAGGGGCTAGGGAGCGGAGAGATTTGTAAGTTAGCAGGAGGAGTTTGTACTGGATGCGTGACTTGACCGGGAGCCAGTGAAGGTGGATGAGGGTAGGGGTGATGTGTTGCCAGGGCTTAGTGTGTTAATATCAGTCAGCAGCCCTTCTCAATATTTAATATTGCTACTAGCCTTAAATATTATGACATTATATACAAGCCCTATTATGGTGAGTACAACGAAAGGGAATAAGAATTAGAAGAGTTAAATATTAAGGGAGCAGCAACAAAAACAAAAATAAACCATAGAAAACTCATGTTTCCATTTCCTACTGATTTACTGTTGTAAAAGTGTGGCTGCTTTGGTAATTAAGTCTTACCTGATGGAACATTCTGCCAGCTGATCCGGACGTACCGGTCCCTGTCGTTCCTAGTGTGCTCATGGTGGAAGCCAAGTGTGTGGAGGAGCTTGTGCTGAATGGTCCCACGATCAAAACAGCCATACACGGACAGAGAAACCAACTGCCTCCCTCCGTCTCTGCCGATGATAGCCCAGCACCTACGGGACCGTAAAAGACGGGGAGACAGCAGGTTTGTATCCTGGCAGACAAGTGAACTCATCACACTGACCAATCACCTCTACGTACCCCATTTCACTCTCAATGCTGAGGTAGTCAGATTGGCCACGATGAGGAACAAAGCGAACGCAGGTTTTCTTGTGGAAAGTGTCCATAGCTTCCTTAATGGAGTCCTTTTCACCGTCATCTGTAAAGAAAACAAGTAGAATGTCAGTTTGTTGGAATGTATACAAAACAACGCTTTCTAAAAAACGATGAAATGCTTTATTGGAATTGTCATGAATGGTTTCCTAAGTCCCTACAGAAGTAATCGCTGAAGATGTAGGGCACTTCAACGAGTCCACTGGAGGATTTTGGCCATTTACATGAGCCGTTCGAGCATTTCATTGCATTCCTCTTCTTTGAAGGAGCCAATCTGGTCATTCTACCAGATTATGGCTGATGGCTGGACAAGACAATATAGTAGCAAAGTGAAAAGATGCACGCATTTACACAGATAAAAGCATGATTCAAGGAAACTGTGTTGAATAAATCAAATGTACCTTTATTTGCCTCTATAATTCTTGATGTAATGTCCAAATAGTAAGGTTCCTCAACCTTCAAACCTAATTAGAAGACCCAGTTACCAGACATGGCTACCAATTGTGCAATATTATTTGGTAAACACCTGTGATGGAGGATTCACTTACCTTCTTTATGTGTACCTGTAGAGACACACGGTGACAATAAGCAGTAGAAAATAAGTTCTATTTTGACGTTTATTTAAAGCTCTGATGTATATATTTTTTGTTAGCCAAGCTATTTGCCAATACTCAGTATTGGCATATCCAGCCATGCAGTGGGTTGGTTTGTGAACTACCTCTCTGAAAGGTCCCAATGTGTTCACTTTGATGGGCTGTCTTCTGAGTGGTTAAACATTGCTAATGGTGTTCCTCAAGGTTCTGTTTTAGGTCCACTTTTATTCTCTATATATATCAGTTTAGGTGAAAATGTGGATGAAGCTACTTTACATTTTTATGCGGATGATACCGTGATGTACTGTGCAGGTCCCTCCATTAAGGAGGCTGGTGTTAAATTACAGGCTGTTTTTAACATTATTCAGACTCAGCTCGCTGAGCTTAAGCTTCTTTTAAATGTTGATAAAACCAAGGTAATGCTCTTTTCTAAAGCTAAAAAGATACCAGAGCCTGTTTTGGATATTGTTACTATGCAAGGACAAGTACTTGAAGTGGTTACCAGTTATAAATACCTAGGTATCTGGCTTGATGATTGTCTTACTTTTAAACTTCATGTCAATAACCTGCTTAAAAAGCTGAGGGTTAGACTAGGTTTCTTTTTCAGAAACAAATCCTGTTTCTCACTTGAGGCCAGGAAAAGGCTAGTCACTGTGACCTTTTTACCTGTGCTGGACTATGGTGATTTGATCTATATGAATGCACCTGCCCATTGCCTGGAAAAATTAGATGCCGCCTAACACAGTGCCCTGAGATTTGTTACTAACTGTAAAGCACTTACTCATCACTGTACCCTGTATGCCAAGGCAGGTCTGCCTTCACTAACTGTATGGAGGCTCAGTCATTGGTACATGTTCATTTACAAAGCCATGTTGGGTAAACTACCTTTTTATATCTGCTCTCTGATCTCTCGACGAATTGAAAGTACATATTGCCTGAGATCTCATGATGTTGTTTTATTAAATGTGCCAAATGCTAGGACTGTCTTAGGGAAGAAAGCTTTTAGTTGTGCAGCTCCACTACATTGGAACAGTCTGCAAACATGTTTAAAACTGAGCACTTTGGTTCCCCTGCATCATTTTAAAACTCAGCTGGCTGACATGCTGTTTGATATTCATGGTACCTGTCACTGTAAATAGAGTTTGTAATTGTACCCTGCACATTATGTTGTATGTCATCCTTATTGTTGTTCTGTTGTTTTTATGTTACATGTGTAACTAATGTCCTGCAGGTCACCCTTGAAAAAGAGATCTTTTGATCTCAAGGGGCTTCACCTGGTTAAATAAAGGCTACAAACAAACATTTGTGTGATCGTTAAACCTCTTATCTCTAATTTACGCCAGAATGATTTAAATAGCCCAATATCACAAATCATGTTTTTATGAAAGCAGGGTAGGCTATTGGTTGAGTTTGTTGGTTTATTTGTCAGCAAGATTGTGGAAAACTCCAGCCCCAATAAGCATAAAACTTGAATGTAGCATGGGCCATTACATTTTGAGTAGATCCAAATCATTTTTGCAGATACACACATTTATTTCGTATGGAAATGGCCTTGGTGGAAGTCTTTCATTTCTAGTTTCCAAATCTGTTTGCACTTGTTTTTTGTTTGATGTCTTCTTTTTGTCCTAATTAGTTTAAATCTTTGTTTCTTAATACATTTCTTGACTCAAAAGCCAACATATCATTTGAAAATCCCACGTACTCATGCATTCACACAATCGCACAAACACTTCAATGCCAAATTTCTAAACTTGACTGCTAATGAGTAGGTGAATTCTTGTAGACCAACCGACCAGCAAAGCAACCTTTATCTGCTGGTTGCATCTGAAAACACTAGTATGAGCAGTCTTTTTAAGGGGATGTTGTGTATTGTAAGTCCCTGGTAGTTGTTAGTGTTACTAAAGCGGGTCCGTGGGCTCAGAGAGCCATAAAAGACCTTTTCTCAAAATGCGTGAAAATGAGTTGAGGTCTAACTTAAATGAAATTAACGGAGGGAGAAACTCGAAATAGGTATGGACATGAATTTATACATGTATACGTTTGATTTCTTGATCAGAAATAACTCATGATGCATTATAAATGGAAAAACTGCTATTCTTTACTGAAAGTCCTTGTATGAAATGATG